TGCTTCTATGAACATAGTGGTGCATATATCCTTTCTGATTGGTGTTTCTGGTTTCTTGGTATATGTTCCTAGAAGTGGGATCACAGGGTCAAATGGGAGTTCCATTTGTAGTTTTTTCAGGAAACTCCATACTGTCTTCCATAGTGGCTGCACCAGTCTACATTCCCACCAGCAGTGCACGAGTGTTCCCTTTTCTCCACATCCTCTCCAGCACTTGTTGTTTGTTGATGATAGCCGTTCTGACAGGTGTGAGATGGTACCTCATTGTTGTTTTGGAGAATGATTTCTTCCTGTGTCTCCCCGTGTTTAAGAATCTGGGTTCAGTCTCTCCATGTTGATCCGTAGGCTCCTGTGTGGTGTGGACAGCGAGTCACCTGTGGACTCTGTACCTACTGCACACAGTGGCCCCGTCTCTCACAGTTTCTGCCTTGGCTTATGGTAGCCTTTACCGTCTTTAATTGTTAAGACGTCAAATCAGTCACAGTTTCCCTTTATGGCTTCTGGGATTTTCGTCTTGATTAGCTATGGTCCGGTCAGCGTCAGGAGGGCTGGGCAGCCCACAGCAGGGCTGCAGGACTGGGGCCAGGCCCGAAGGACCCCCGGGCCTTAGGGCATGAGGGTCTTGCAGAAGCAAGAGGGGTTCAGGCTGTAAGCTACAGCCCCAGGAATTGATCACCACAGAGACTTGGCATAGGGTGCAAGACATCGTTTGAGAATGAGAAGAGTCATTTGTACCCTTAAATAGTCAACATGAGTTTTAACATTTCTTTCCCCATGTTTATAGTTCTCCTTTTGGTTTAACATTTAGATTCCTTTGGGATTGATTGATTTTTGAGGAATCTTTTGTGTTTGTTTGATTGTTTTAGTAATCTTCAATGGAGGATATTTTTTCCATTGATTTTTAGAGAGAGTGGAAGGGAGGGAGGGAGGAAGAAGAAGAGTGAGATAAACATTGATGTGTGAGAGAAGCATCAATTATTACCTCCCACATGTGCCCTGTGCCCTCACCTGGTTTGGGATGTACCCTGCAATCCAGTTCCGTGCCCTTGACTGAGAATCAAAACCTCCACCCTTCAGTGCACAGACCTGCACCACATGGGCAGGGCTGTGGAAGCTTTTTGTTCTTCCTCCTCTTCTTCATCTGCATCTTCATCTGCATGTGTCCTCTTCCTAATGCAGGACGTATGTAATGGTACCTACAGCCTTCAAGGAGCCTCTGGTGCAGGAAGCAAAGTGCCTGGCAGCAGGTAGTGAGCAGGAGTGGGAGGGGCTGGACAGAGTTGGGCCTGAGCCCCAGAGCTGGGCGCCGCCCTTGGGGGAGGGGCAACTTTGTAATGTCCTACTCAAGGCCAGGCATCAGAATCAGATTTTCACGTTCCTCTCTTCCTCTTTCTCCTCCTATAAAAATGTGATGGCTGCAGGAAAGAGACAGGAGGAAATAAATGGAACTCTTAGAAAGCTGATAGAACTGTCAGAAGTACATTAAATCAGGGGGGGAATTTGTGTGAAATCTGAGTCATAGTTTTTTCATCAAGATCAACAGGAACACCAAATGGAGTGAAACCGTGGTTTGCTGTCTGGTTGAGTGGCTGGTTGTTCTGTGTCCCCGACAAGGGACACACCCTAGGCTTGAGCCATCAGTGCCAGGAGCGCAGAGGGTACCCGGGGTCAGGAGGGGCAACAGACAATAGACCTGGCCCTGCGTTTATAGATACAAATGGTACACAGTTCAAAGGTTATTAAAAGAATGTGAGCCATTATTTACAAAGTCTTAGAGCATCCCAGGCAGAGCAAAGACCACGCAGGTGAGCCACCTTAGTATCAGCTATTAGTATACCAGCAAGTTCCTTGGCTCTCTGTGTCAGGCAGGTCTCAGGAGGGTAGCTGATAAATGCTGTTTTGCTTCTTAAAATAACGCCTACAGACAATCAGCATTTCCTTTCTTCCCTGGACTCCAAGGCAAGATAGTCCAGACAGAACTGAGAGAATCCTCTCCATGAAAAGGGCTCTTTCCAACAGGATCGTTCATAGAACAGAAATGATCCAGAATGTTTTCATTATTATTGATTTGCAATCGAGAGAGAGAAACATCGATTGTTCCACGTATTTATGCATTCATTGATTGATTCTTGCATGTGCCATTCATATGTGCATTGTATTATCAAACCCACAAAGTTGGCATACTGGATCAATGCTTTAACCAACTGAGCTACCCAGCCAGGGCCAGAGCCAAGGATTACAGTATTGCCCCATCCCAATGGTCCCCAAGACAAGGTGGACACTGACACTTCCTAAGAAAGAGCCCTCCTAGCGCTGTGAGACCACACGATCCAACCAAAAGGTTGGTCATCCACTCATCCTTCAACTTGACTTGGCATCAAAGGGGGACCGTGGATGAAAAATGGGTTCTATGCCAACTAACCTCACAGGGTGATGTGATCATAAATTTCTAGCTGGGCAGGTCATGGCTGGGGTCACCTCCCAGGCATATACTTTTTAGTAAAAGGTTTGTTTTCCTTAAGCAAGCCCTGTCCAATGTTTCTGTGCATCTAGGTGAACACACCTTTGAAATGACCACTCTCAAGAGAGCACAATCTGGCCTGGCCGGCGTGGCTCAGTGGTTGAGTGTTGGCCCGTGAATGAAAAGATTTTGATTCCTAGGCAGGGCACATGCTCGGGCTGTGGGCTTGAAACCCAGCAGAGGGCATGTAGGGGGCAGCCACCGGATACTTCTCTCTCATCAATGTTTCTGCCTCTCTCTTCCATTCCCTTCCTCTCTGAAAGTCAATAAAAACGTTTTTGGTTGTTGTTTTTAAAGAAGAGACCACACTCTTGTTGACTGTCCTGAAATCCAATCCCCACCTGCTTTCTCCCAACTTCATGTACCCTCCCTCACATCCCCTCCTTCATTTCACATGCAGAGAAGAAGCTGAGTGACTGTTATTCTCCAGAGCATTTTAGATCTCGCACAGTTTGGATGAAATAAACTTTCCCAAAAATCCTTTAAGAAAAATTACAGCCTTAAAAAGGAAGGGCATTCTGGCCCATGTTCTAACCTGCATGACCCTTGAGGACACTATGCTAAGTGAAATAAAGCCGTCTCAGGACGGTAAACAGTGTGTGATTCCACTTATATGAAGCACTCAAATCCATAGAGATGGGAAGTAGAATGGCAGTTTGCAGGGGCTGGGAGGTGGGGGATGGGGAGTTATTGTTTAGTGGATATTGAGTTTCTGTTTTATAGGATGAAGATAGTTCTGGAGGCTGGTTGCACAACAGGGTAAATATAATTTAACACTATTGAACTGTATCCTTAAATATGGTTAAGGCAGCCCTAACTGGTTTGGCTCAGTGGATAGAATGTCAGCCTGCGGACTGAAAGGTCCCAGGTTCGATTCCAGTCAAGGGCATGTACCTTGGTTGCAGGCACAGACCCAGTAGGAGGTGTGTAGGAGGCAGCTGATCAATGTTTCTCTCTCATCGATGTTTCTAATTCTCTATCCCTCTCCCTTCCTCTCTGTAGAAAATGAATAAAATATATATTTTTTAAAAAGACAAGAAATAAAAAATGTTAAAAAATAATGGTTAAGGTGGTAAATGTTATGATTTTTAAGATGTATGTGTGTGTTTGAAAAGTACTATGAACTGGGAGATGGAAAAGATGGACACCTCATATCCTGTGAGCATAAATGTAAATTGGTGCAATTTGTTTTCATTACAGTGTGGCTCTAGGCATAAAGGAATTTTTATATGGCGATACCCTCTCTCCCAGTCATTCTATTTATTAAATATCTTAAGGGAAGCAATCTCAAATGCAGACGAACTTTTATGCCTAATGGATGTGTCTGCACTATTTTCACAAAGAACTGGAAACAAGCTAACATCTACCAGTGGGCATGAGAAGCAGAGAGGACCGGGCAGCGTCAGGAGGGCTGGGTAGCTCACAGCAGGGCTGCAGGGCTGGGGCCAGGGCCGCAGGACCCCAGGACCTTAGGGGATGAGGGTCTTGCAGAAACAAGAGGGGTGCAGACTTGGGAAGCTACAGCCTCAGGAATTTATCACCACAGAGACTTGGCATAGGGTGCAAGACATCGTTTGGGAATGAGAAGAGTCATTTGCAAGTAACACAGACACATTAATAAACATTTTTGTATATAAAAGAGAGTCGAGTGTAGTCCCCACAAACACGGATTGGGATCAGGAAGACTTGGGCTGGAGTCCTAGCTCTAGCACTACTGTGAGACTGGGGATAACCTGAGTTTAGGTGAAAACCTAGACTTTGTGATGGTTTCCTCCACGTTCCAATGGGAGCCACCATGGCGCCCACCACGTGGAATGTGTGAGAGTATTTGATAAGTGAACTCGTAAGGAGCCTGTGGTAGACACACCATCAATATTAGCTGAGTGATTAGTAAACACAATGTCCCCAACCTCAAGTCATTTCCAAAACATTCCTTCCCATCTTTCCTTCCCATCTTTTGTGTCTGGTGTTACTGCTTCTTTGGTTTAATAACTTCTCAGCCTTCTGTTTTCTTGTCTGATGGTCTACTTCTGCCCCCACAGGACAACGGGACTGTCACTTGGCTTGGAGTGGGCTGGAGTGAGGTGAGTACCTTCTCTTAACTAGCAGCTGGCAGAGCCCAGCAGACAAGGATACACAGTGGATTGAGTACATCTCGGCACTTGCAGCCTTCCTTCCCTGAAAGAAACACCAGAGACGGAGCCCCTCACTGCTCCTGTTGCTCACCTGGCTCACCTTCAACCCCACAATTTGTTTTCTCTTCCCCAAGGGTGAAGCGACACCTCCTTCCAGCTGGACACAGACTGGTGAGCTGAAGGGGAAACTCTGAGATCCCAGTGCTGACACCATGACCTCAGAAGCTGACGGGATCTGCCCAGGTAAGTCAGCTTCCTCCTCTCTAGCTGGGTCCTGCT